CCCCCCCCCCCCTTTATATTTTCTGGTTTGTTACAATCTGGTTTACTCCCACACTTGGCTTTAAAGAAGGGATTATCTATTAGACAACTCAGAGTTAGGGCTGGACACGTTCTCACTTTTTTCTAGCCGTTTGTAAACGGTTAGTTCCAACCGATAAAATTTTCTTTTTCTGGTTGCTGTTTGTTTTGTTAACAGTATTTTTCGTTTTTTTAAGCTACCGTTAGTTAACGGCAGATATTTTAGAAATCGTTAACTGCGCCAGCCGTTAACTATTTTTTTATTTTTTTTAAGCTGGGAAAATTTGAAGACAACCTTTAAAAATATCAAAACAAGTGAAAAATAAAACATCAGTTATGCATAAAATTTACAAAAAACCTCCGTTTTGTTAATCAGAGTACGCGGAGTATACATTGGACTGGGTGTCGTTCCTAGAGATTTAACTAGAAACTTAAAGGGACTACGGGTGATATTTCCCGTTGGCCTCCATTTTAAGAGCTTTTTTACAATTGTACCCTAAAAACTGTGTCTGATCAAAAGTGTCCATGTTTTTAACTTTAAAAATAAATTATTTTCAATTGTGGTTTCTGTATAAAGATAAATTCAGAATATCTGTTGCAGAAACAATGAAGGAAGTTGTCAGAAATACTTTAGGAGCTGTAAACACGACGATGTCTTCCACAACCCATATTTTTAATCAGATAAAGGTTTAAAGGTTACCAAATGTTAGTAGGGTTAAGATTTTAGTAGTTTTCAGATTATTATGTTTTTAACGTTTTTTTAATTGGATACATCTTCAAATTCTATAAAAATATGTTTAAAAGCTATAATTTGGTATTAAATTTTATTCTTTTATTTTTATTTTAAACAATGTAGATAATCTGTAAGTAAATTAGTTGGTCACTTAGTAAAATAAGTGGAATTTACAATGATTAGGGGTGGAAGACACCGACAGGTATTGCAATTTCACTTATTATGAAAAACAAACGTTTTCCTGTAAAGTTGTGTGGCAAGTTTTTGTCATGATATCACCTAAGCAAAAAAAAGGAGCAATTGGCTTTTTTTTGAACTAAAAAGCAAAAATACAACTTTTTTAGTCATACTTGATATGGATTTAAATTCTAAAATATTTATATAAAACCCTAATTTACCTTATCAATAGAAAACTAACCTTTTTCACGACTTGATGCTCAAATGTTGGGGCAAATTCCACAGTCATATGTCCAGATTTAAAGTAGGAACCTCCTGATAAAATAAAATCGATTTTATAAGATAAAATTCTTCTATTTCAACTTTAAGCTCTTGCTTTATCTGTGAACATTTTCTCTTTGTTTACATTATAAATCAAAAACAGAAATGTTCGCGGATCTGATAATATTTTTTTGGATTTTTAAAATTTTATGCAAATCTAAATTTGTGGAGGCAAATTTTTGAAATTCAGATCATAAATGGTTTTTTCCTCGGGTCATGTGAGGTACCACAGAAAATTTGGTCCCAATCGGTTCAGCCGATTTTACGTTCAACCAAAGATTCAGACAAGCAAGATATATGTACATTTATAAGAAGGGAAAGTATGTAATTTATGCTAAATTACGGCTTTGTTTAGCTCCTTTGTTTTGATTTTATCCCCAGGTATGAAGTATAAAACTTATCTTGGTTGAATAATAGGGATTCAAAACTTTTTTTAAAAAGCACTTTAAAAAAGTATTAAACACGATTGGACAATTATCAACCAATCACTTAATGACATTTTTTGAAACAGCTAAAAATTAGCACAAAAATGGCAACCTCATAAAGAATTCGAGTTAAAAATATTATAGGTCTATAGTATTAAGTTGCAAATGAAAAAAGCTAAATAAATAAAGAATGTTGACAGAAATCAGATCCGATCTTCTGTAAAAAAGTAAAATTGAAAATATGTTCTGCTAGATCAGAATCCGGATCAATTTATGCAGAACGAATCCAGGATCCGGATCAATTTATACAGAACATATCCAGGATCCGGATCCATTTATGCAGAACATATCCAGGATCCGGATCCATTTATACAGAACATATGCAGGATCCAGATCCATTTATGCAGAACATATCCAGGATCCGGATCCATTTATACAGAACATATCCAGGATTCGGATCCATTTATGCAGAACATATCCAGGATCCGGATCCAGAACATATCCAGGATTCGGATCCATTAATGCAGAACATATCCAGGATTCGGATCCATTTATGCAGAACATATCCAGGATCCGGATCCATTTATGCAGAACATATCCAAGATCCGGATTCTTATCAAAATGGGATCCCATAAGAACTGGTTTATATCTCTTCCTCCTTCACCTTTACTAAAAAAGGTAAGTTTTCTTCCTCTTTCTGTCTTTTGAGTTCCAACTGAGGGAAAAGTATTTTTAATGTTACGGGGAAATTCTAAAAGAGTTTCTTATTTAATACCGGAACAAGTTGTCATCCTAATATCTACTAAAATGTTTAGTTTTGTTGTACTGTACTGATCTGTGTTTAGGGTTTCCAAATTTTTGATCAATATCTTTCGCGAAAATTTCGTTCCGGCAACGAAGAAGTGTACGAAAACGACGATTTTCGTTAAAAATTTTTCGAGACATTCTTTCAAAGTTTTTGTTCACAATCGTATTTTTTTTGCAAAAATTTAAAATTGTACTGACTTCTTTGACAAAATATTAAGAATTTTTGAATTTTCGTTAAACTTTTAGTTTAAGAACTGTTTAATTGAAGTTAAAGTTGCTAATTTAAGCATCCCTAACAAATAAAATAAAACTCTCAGAGATTATTCACCAAAGATACACATCACACATAATATCTCAGTCATTTTTAAATCACATGTTCAGTTGAACACCCTAAAATAGATGAACAGTATTTACACATTATTTGCACTTAGAGTTGAGATAGGGTAGTATGATACATGTCCTTAGTCCAACTTTTCAAGGCCTGCTCACTAACAAAAAATAAGACCTGTAACGTAAGTTACAGGGGAGGATTTTAAATAAGTTGAATAAAGCATGTCGAAAAAATGTTTGCCTTGTATCTTAATTGATAAAAAAAAATTAATTTGACTTTTTTGAAACACCGAACCTCGTTTGGCCGACCTCCACCCGATCAAATGCATTCCAAAAAAAAGTACCGACGATTCAACGTTCTAATGCAAACAGGGGGGAATACCCCCCTCACCCCCCCCCCCCCGTGCAATGTTATAAGAATTTTCATGTTGTCAATAAAGTCTCATCCTTTCTGCGTAACCCTGTATATTCAAGATTCAACACAAAACACTACAGGATACCCTTACTACATGTGAAAATAGAAATGCAAAATTTTCATACATACCAAAGACTTTGCTAATTAGCAAAGTCTTTGATACATACGATTTTAAACTAATATATTAAGAAATTATTATTTTCATGAGATTATCTATTAAATAATATGAAAATATGCGACACATTTTCCCTTGGGGTGGCCTCACCAGACTCTCCGTCAGAAATCCAACAATCTTCTTGACGCAAAAGGGAAAAAAATTTAATTTTTAACGAACGAAAATTGTACGAAAATTTCGCGAAAGCGAGATCAAAAATTTCGTCGAAAGTACATCAATAATTTTGCCAAAATTTTACCAAAATTTTGAATGAAATTCTTTCAGTTTTTTCGTTTATTTTCGCAAATTTCGTCCAACGAAAATATCTTTGGAAACCCTTTCTGTGCTGCACTGTACTACACTCTAGTATGCTGTATCTACTATACTCAATTATATGGTATTTACTTTATATACTGTACTATAGAGATGGGTATTGTTTTCATTAACAAATGGACTAGTTCAAACTGAACGATTATAATGAACGAATGATTTTATTGAACTAAGATTTTAGTCAAATGACAATTTAATTTTAATGAACAAACGATTTTCATGAACGACAGATTTTAATGAACAAACCAGTTTACTGAACGAACAGTTTTGCTGAACAAACGATTTCGCTGAATTATCAATTTTAAAATGAACAAAATAGAAGGAACATAAACTATGATTCAACTAATGGATGAAATGAACTAAATGGTTAGTTAACGAACTATGAATAGATGAATTAAAGAAAACCGAACGCCTCTTTTAACTGTACGGTACTGTTTGTAAATTGTTCTTAACTGTATTGTACTGTACTGTACTGTACTGTACTGTACTGTACTGTACTGTACTGTACTGTACTGTACTGTACTGTACTGTATTGTATTGTACTGGACACCAATCTTGTAGGAAATGATTACTAAGTTTAAACAAAGTTTCGCAATCTAATGAATTGCACACAAAAAAAGCACAAAGCAGAACTCCAGAGACTGCACAAATTGATTAGAGAGATTAAAACTTTTTCCGTTTTATTTGTTTATCTTTTTATTCAACCTGAAACAAAATGGAGGTATTTACATTTCTGAACATTGATAAAAACATTATTACGATCCTCTCATTTACTTTGAGACAAAACTGGGCCATTTTCCTAAAAACCCCTGCTTATGTAGAATTCCATGACTGAGTGGCTTTTTATGAGTATTCATATCGCTTTTAAAGCAGTAACTTCCGCAGGTATTTTCCCAAATTTCCAATTGTACAATTTCCCAGTCGGAAATCGCAGTGCTTGGCCCACTTGTCCATCCTAGCCACAGCGCTAGGTCGCTTTTGCAGCCTCAGAATTGGCCTAACCTAACCTTCGGGAATTGATGCAGGGAGTAAAGAATAAAAGGGAGATATATCTGACGCGGTTTGCCCTACCATATGATTATACATGCTTTGCATTCATTTGAATAAGAAATGTTTGTTTGATGTACATTTACTGCGTATACAATAACCTATTCTGAACATTTCATATACAAATGGAGTACCCGTCTGCAAAGCATGTGTAATCATATGGTAGGGCGAACCGCGTCAGTTATATCTCCCTTTTATTCTTTACTACCTGGGAAGATGCCACTTGGGAAACTGTCATTTTGGAAGTCACCCTTTAAAGGCTCTTTAACCTTCCCCTTGAAAAAATCTTTCTTTTTCTGGCTCCGTAGTTTCTGTTTAATATATTTACTCGTTTGACCGAACTTAATTCAATTTAGACAAAGGGAAAATCTTGATGCTCCAAAATATAAAATATACAAATAATAAATATTATTGTTAGAAAATAATAAAATATCTTCATATAAACTACAAATATACTGAACTAGACTGCCGGCAATATAGAAAGAAGATTTTTGACAAACTTTGAACAAGTTGCCCAAAATAATACAAATAGAACACTGGATGTCGTCTTTTCAAGAACTTGGGGTTTTTCGTTCACAATAACCCTGAGGCAGAAGCCCAAAAGAGTTACTTACGCTCTCTCTCTGTCTGTAATTCAACGCGGCATGCGCGTAACTCCTTTGGGCTTTTGACTCAGGGTTATTGTGAACAAAAAAAACTTAAATCATGTAAAGACGACATCTAGTGTTCTATCTGTAATGTTATTAATCTATGAATTTGGCAGGAATATGTTAAAATATTCCTATGCCCAACGAGGTTTCAGCACCTCTTCTAGCAACAGTTTAATTGTTTGAATGTTTCCTTTCAAGTGACCTTTTTTGCATCCTAATTGTAAAACGTAAAACTAACAAAAATAATTTAAAAGAACTTACTTGGATTAACATATTTTAATCCATTTTTACCGATTGAACGTTAATAGAAATTTCTGAAGTAAAAAAGGTCCAAATAGTATTATTAAATATATATATATATATATATAAAATATGAGAAAAGAAGTATTCAACACATGATTTGAGTTTTTATTGTATGGACATTATGTTTTTATGCTTTGCCACTTCATTTGAGTTTTTATTTTATCATCATATTTCATGCTTTGCACATATCATATATATTGGATTTATGTAAGAGAATCGAGCTTCATATGTAAAGATATAAGTTTTGTTTATTTCTTATTGTATTATTGTATTATTGTATTGCCATCTAGAAGTTTAATAAAAAACATGAATACATTCATTCATTTTATATTTGATTAGTAAAGTAAAAGCAAATTTATTCTTGAAACTTCTTCTTTATTTCTGAAATTTTTATTTTTGGAAACAAAGTGAAAATGTTCCAAGAATGAATTATTTAGAATTTAAATAAATTCTTTTACATAACTCTTTAGAATAAAAACATTCATGTTTTTAATGTAAAAATTATCACCTACAATACAAAAATAATAATCGATCGTAATCGTATTTTCCCCAGATCTTTATCCCAAGTAGCAACTTCCATAGTATTCAATTAGGCCTTTTGAGGCAACGCAGGCCGCAATGAGGTCCGAGCGCTGCGGCTAGGATGGACTAGAGATGTTTACGCATGCATGCATGTTGAGCAAACTTTTTGGAGGCTTTCAATGGTTCGATAATTTAGATAAGGCCTTTTGATTCCGTTCTTTCTTTCGATTCACAACGGCACCCTTAATTCCTTAGAATGAGCAAAAAAATGAAATTATATGCTTTCTCTTATTTTCAATTTCTAATTGCATTTTTTCCAAAAAAGTGAATTGAGGATTTTATGCTGCCCAAACAAGGAACATAATCTTCAGAATTAAACACTTTTTAAGTTGGACAAATGACACATTCTGTCCCATTAGCTCAGATGACAGCTACAGTCTTGTGAATCGGATATTACACTTATCAATTAAAGGTGTAAAGGAAACCGTTGTGAATCGGTCTGCAACTACGATTGCAGGACTAAACGAACTTATTGTGAATAGGAATAAAAAAGTTAGTTTGAGTTCTCTACTTCAAGGAAATTACTACTGATTAATCTTCTATATCGGATCGGAAGGATATCTCTTTTTCTTCATTTCATATTATTATATATTATTATAGGGTTTCCAGCGAAATGGAAAAATTGGTTCGCAAAAATTTCGCGAAACAGATAAACGCAAAATGTCCCTAAAAAAGCGAAATATTTCGTAGACATATATTTTGTTTGTTTCTCGCGAAATTCTGAATATTTTTCGCTTCCTTTCGCAAAAACGCATCTTTCGCTAAAAAGTATGCGAAATATGCAAGAACTTTTCGCGAAATTTCGCATTTTTCACAATAGCTTTCTTTGGCTGGAATCACCAGACCTATTAAACTAAAGTAAATTGCATGCACTCAAGATTTTAATCTTTTATGTATTAAATCATAACTCCTTATATAGAAGAACTTTGACAAGAACAAAAATGTTTTGAATTTTTAACACTTAGGAAAATATAGAATTCGATCACTCGCCACAAGTTCTAATTTCATAATTTTATAATATCTTTGCACCAAGACGTTGGATTTTGCAAACCATGAATTCTGTAATATCAAATAATCTAAGTTTAAAAGTTTACACCATCAAGTTGCAAAGATATAGGGACAAGAAAAATTGAGTTTGTGGCAAAGGCGCAATTTTTTTGCTTTTCTAATAATTGTGTGTAAAATCAAAACTAGATAAGCTTCGATGTCACAAAGTCGTACCATTAATGTTGCATAATTTAACCTTCTCTTGTCTAATTTGCAATTAAACTATTTTGTCAAAATTGGAATAAAATCTTTTAAAAAGGACCTTCTAATTATCCTTGAAATTTTGTTTATCTTTATTTTCCTTATTTTCGTGAATATTCCTTTATTTACCTTGATTTGTTGTCTGACACTCATAGAGTCCATCGTCTGTCCGTTTAACACTGTTAATTATTAGAGTTGATTCTTTCCACTCGGTTTCCCCTAGAATACAGTTAATTAGATATAATTAGGATACTTTTAACTCTCCACTCGGTTTCCTCTAGAATACACCTAGTTAGATATAATTAGGTTACTTTTAACTTTCCACTTGGTTTCCCCTAGAATACAGTTAGTTAGATATAATTCTAGGTTACTTTTAACTTTCCACTCGGTTTCCCCTAGAATACACCTAGTTAGATATAATTAGGTTACTTTTAACTTTACACTCGGTTTCCCCTAGAATACAGTTAGTTAGATAGTTCTAGTACTTTTAACTTTAAAATTGGTAATGTCTAATTGTAACAGTGACTAATGCTCCATCTTTTATTAGATATAAAATCAAAAATGTGAAGGGTCAATTGAAGTTGCACCCAGAGAGCCTTTAAACACATTTTTTCGCTCAGCATGTGAGAAGTTTAAACGGTTTTCCTTTTTTCTCATTTAACCTTTTTTGTCTACGGATGGTATTTTAATTAAAAAAGTAGAAGAAAGCAACTCTTGAAATTTAAAGATTTTATTAATTATAAACGCAAAATGGGATTAAATTCCAATTGAAAAAATAGAAAACACCCAGCTCTGGTTAGTCCAGGGTACTCTGCTAAGCTGGGAAAGAAATAGAAGAAATCTTTTTTTCACTTTTGTTCCACAAATCTTCAATAATCTTGCCTCCCTTCTCACTGGAATTTTGAGATCGCCTAATGATCGGTTTCACTTCGGTTTTGGGCAAAATGAAATGGTGTGTGAACATTGAAAAAAAAGCAATAATAATTCATGAAATATTAATGTGTGCATCGTCAAATAAACGATTTAGAATTAAATACTTTTAAAAAAGTGTAGATTAAATAGATTCGACTGTTCTGTAAGTGCATATTATTATGGATCACTATACCTTCAGTTGTGTATGGGGGAGCTTCAACAATAGCTTCAAGAACCATTATTCTAGGATCCCCGGGCTGTAGTCCATTCACATACGGTTCACTAGAAATAAATAGTAATAATGTGGATAAAGCAAATATGTATCTGCAATTTGAATGTTCTAGATCAAACTGTTATTCATGTATTTCTGAATAAATAAATGTGCCATCCTAAGTTCTGAGCCAGCTATTGATTCTGATTGAGCTACATAAAGCCCCAACAATCTCTTTCTTCTTCCCCCTACTTATTGGACGAAACACCTCAAATTGTATGATTTAAAAATTATATCATACAATTACATTCGGGTTTGCCATTAAAGACGGCCAAAGTTGGCTTGGCAAATCCCGTCATTAAAGTGTTAGTTTAAAGAATATATCTATGTAAAATTATGTACTTTAATGATAAATATATATATCTATCTATCTAACAAGTAATTTGAAATTTATGTTATTGATTTATTCCCATTTTATATTATCTATCCCTGTTAAGCACACTCAAATAAGTATGTAAAAGTAAGCGCCTGAGGTCGAATTTTAAGAATTTGAACCGCGTCTAAAATATGGTAACAAACCACTCAACCAATTATTATTCATCGTTATACATTGTTATACATTGTTATACATCGTTATACATCGTTATACATTGTTATACATTGTTATACATCGTTATACATCGTTATACATTGTTATAAATTAATTTCACAAAAATAAAGTGTTGCTATCATTTTCAGACTTGTAACACTTGTTAGTTACAAAATCTTGGACGATGTTTCTTATTTAAAGATTGAACACAGTCGACTTTGATTCTTCTGAGGCCGAATTTAAAGAATTTGAGCGGCGGCTTGAATTTAAGCCGCGGCTAAAATATGGTTGGTTCCACTTAAAATAATATTCAATGTTTCAAGATTTAAGCCGGCGCTCAATTGAAACAGGTTTTTGGCGGATTTTAGACGCGGCTCAAATTCATTAAATTCGGACACTGGAAAAGGAAACATTAAAATTCTGAAATATTACTAAAATATTCTATATTTTTAGCAAGTTTGGATTGAAATGGCAGCAGTTTAACATTCTTACTTGATCATACAATTCAATTTTACTTCAACTTTTCTAACTCCACAAACTCTTTAAAATGGAAACGAAAACTTATAAACGTGTTGTACAAAGATAATGCTCTTCTATCTTAAAGGGACTGTCATTTTAATTTCAAGAGGCCTTCTATTTCACACGGAGAATGCCTGATTCACAACGGTACCCTTTGAATCTTTATATAATTAATAGTGTTTAAACCATCGTCGTTTTTAAAACTTTAATAGTCTTTAATTCTGATAATTTCTTCCCAATATTTTATTAGATTAAAAGGAACTAAACAATCTTTTAATTAGCCGACGCACAAAAGAAATTGATTAGCTTAGTTCTCACTATTCATAAAATTTTGATGGTGTAAATCTCCTAAACTATAATTTAAAACTTAAACTATAATTTTTCATATTTTCAAATACAGGGTGTCCCAAAAAACATGGGAATTAAGTGACGAATTCGATATCTTCTTAGTTATGATTTAGCATAGTAATACCTAATTTCAAAAGCCATAATATTATTATGTCTGCTAGAGTTTATTTAATGAAAGGGTAAAAGACTGCAATTATGTGTCTATAATGTCTCCGCAAGATGAACAGTGATGACGGACAAGTTTACTCTGTTTGTATTCTGCAATTTTCTTGTTTAATTAAGTACAACCGTATGCCGTCAAAACATAAACAAACAAAATGTAAACATAGCAGACGAAACTCTTACAGATTACAGCTTTCTCAGTAGGTATCACTATACTAAATCAAGGAATTATTTAAAAAGACGATATCAAATTCGTCACTGAATTCCCATGTTTATTGGGACACCCTGTACCAAAATTTATTTCAAAGTATTTATTTAGTTTGAGAAGAGGAATAAAGATTTAAAGGTTTGAATTCTCTGAAAGTAAAGTTTGTTACAACAGAACACTTTTAAGATTAGTTTAGAACAGTAACCTTTACCTTCAACCCCTCATCCATTCATCTTATTCTTTATTCTTATTTTTTCATCGGATCCTTTCATACTATTCGTTCATCTTATTCTTTTTAACTTTATCTTCTTCTTACATCTAATACTTTCATCTTATTTTTCCATCGGTTCCTTTCATATTATTCGTTCATCATATTCTTGTATCTTAATCTTTCATGTTATCATTTCATCTTAATATCTTGCTTTATTTTTTCATCTTATTTTTTCATCTTTTCCTTTGGTCTTATTCTCTCGCTTTATTCTTTCATCTTATTATTTCGTCTTATTCTTTTTATTCTATTTTCTTACTTCTTATTCCTTAATCTTATTCTTTAGTCGTATTCATTCATATTATTCTTTCATCTTATTCTTTCATCTTATTCTTTAATCTTATTCTTTCATCTTTTTCTTTTATCTCATTCTTTCATCTTTTTCTTTCATCTTATTCTTTTACCTTATTCTTTCATCTTATTCTTTCATCTTATTTTTTCATCTTATTCATTTCTCTTATTTTTTCGTTATATTTTTTATTAAAATTTTTCATGTCTTTCTTACATCTTATTATCTTATTGTATTCTTTAATACTATTCTTTCATCTGGCATATTAATATTTCATCTTATTCTTTAGTCCTATTCTTTAATCTTATTCTTTAATTTTATTCTTTCACCTTATTCTTTCATCTTATTCTTTCATCGTATTCTTTCATTTTATTCTTTCATCTTATTCTTTCATCTTATTCTTTCATCTTATTTTTTCGTTTTATTTTTTTATTAAATTTTTTCATGTCTTTCTTACATCTTTTTATCTTATTTTATTCTTTAATATTATTCTTTCATCTTAATCTGGCATATTAATATTTCATCTTTTTCTTTAGTCCTATTCTTTAATCTTATTCTTTAATTTTATTCCTTCACTTTATTTTTTCATCTTATTCTTTCATTTTATTCTTTCATCTCTTATTCTTTCATTTTATTCTTTCATCTTATTCTTTAATCTTATTTTCATCTTATTATTTCATCTTATTCTTTCAGCTTATTAATTTCTCTTATTTTTCCGTTTTATTCTTTTATCAAATTTTTTCATGTCTTTTTTACATCATATTATCTTATCTTATTCTTTAATATTATTCTCATCTTAATCTGGCATCATAATATTTCATCTAATTTTTTCGTCCTATTCTTTCATCTTAATCTTTCATTTTATTCTTATATCTTTCTTTCTCTTATTCTTTTATCTTATTTTTCCATCTTATTATTTCATCTTATTCGTTCATCTCATTTATTCATCTTTTCTTTCATCTTTTTCTTTCATCTTATTATTTCATCTTATTATTCTTTCTTCTTATTTTTCATCTTATTCTTTCATCTTATTACTCTTAATCTAAACGTTTGAAAACAATAAAAAAAACTTACTTTTTTGACCATTTTCTCCAAACAATGTTAGGGAGAGGATGTCCAGATGCAATACATCTAAGTTCTGCTCTTTCATCTCCAACCTTGTACGTAGCATTGTACAATTCTTGTACACGAGGTCTACTCATTGTACATATCGTAATAAAAATTTTGCGTCGAAAAAAAAGTTTAAAATTACTTTTAAGATATAAGACACTGGATCTTTTCAAGGAAATTTTTTATAATTTCGGTGGATTTCTTACTAAGAAACTGAATGTATTGTTTTTGTTTTTGGGCTCATAGAAAATTTTGAAGATTTAAAATCTACAAACAAGTTGTACATTATGAAATCAAAAAGGGGGGTTTCACTAATGACTAATATGATATTTTCCTTATGATAACTTCAAACTTGAATGTGGATTCAATTCTACCAGCATTGTTTTCAGCAATACACTTGTACATTCCGCGATCTTTGCCGTACACCTGCAGTACATTAGTATTCGAGTAAAAAAAACTGACAGAAATTAGAAAATCAAAACAGAATTTCTAAAGTGTGATTACTGTTCAAATTTGTATTTCCATAAAATGTTAAGCCCTGAAGAGTTATGTAGATGGCAGGCTAACTAAATATAGCATATATACCGTCTTTATTAAAATGTAGACTAGATCCTCGTTACAAAAGATTGTGACTTTTTTTATTGTTTTCTTTTCAAAGGATTTTCTTTGCAATTTTTGAAAATACATTAATCAAAAAGTAAACAATGTTTTTCTCTAAATGAAAACCTCTCTTTGATGGCGTTCTAAAAATAGAAAATGCAACAAACATAGGGAGGACAGGAAAAATTAAAACATTTTTTTTAATAATTCTTTAGAAAAATAAAAACCTAAATTAACTAGGTATTGAAAGTACGTTAAAAAGTTAAGTTCCGATAAAAAAAAAAAAAACAGTTTTTAGTTTAACATTTTTAGTGATATTTCATTTTTAACATTCTGTTTTATACATTTTTGTTGAATTTGGGTTTTTGCCTTTTCTAGTATAAATCTGTAACAAATATTTTTTTTTTATATTTGTGGATTTTCAGAAATAGTAAAAGTTGGACAATCTTTTTGACCAGCCAGAAACCTTCCCTGGGGGCATGTAAGTTGGGACTTAATCGGTTCAGTAATTGGGCTTAATCGGTTCAGTAATTGGGCTTAATCGGTTCAGTAATTGGACTTAATCGGTTCAGTAATTGGGCTTAATCGGTTCAGCCGTTTTGACGTGTATAGGGTACGATTATAAGACAAGCCAATTATAGATACAGATATTTTGGTCAAAATGAAAGTGCACAATACAAAATTAAAATTTTATTTATACAGGGAGAATCACAAAACTGTGAAAAAGTAAGACGACTTCTACACATTAGAGCCAAGTTAGAATTTTAGATAACATGAGACACAGCAACTGGGAAATTTTTTCAAACCATTTTTAACATATTTAGCTATTTTTCGGCTACAATAATAAAACGTTTTGCGTATAATAAACTCGTTATAATGTGAACATACAAAAAAGCCAGGCTATGAAAAATTTTAGACGCAAAACCGGGTCGATTCAAGTTATTGGTCCAGAGCTGAAAACTTTTGAATGGTGGAAATCGAGATCAATGTTTGATCTCCTTTTTTCTTAATCTCAAGAATAAATGATGCTTTTTCTCCTCTCGTTATTAATCTTCAGATTAATTAATTTGAACCGATTTTTGGATATCCCATTCCATTTTCAGCTCTGAACACTTTTTTTCATACATATATTAGGATGTTTATTTAGTGTGGTCATATCAATCTTTGTTCGTTTGATGAAAAAAAATTTTTACCATAAAAAGTAAGCATAGTGAATTAAAAATATGGGATATCTCACAAAAAAACAATACTCTAAAGCTATTGTGCAATATGACGGTTTAGCTAGCTCATCCTTGATATTTTTTATCCTTTATTAAGATAGTATTTTTTATGTCAAATAGAGTCACGGGAAAGAAAGTATTTGGGGAAAAAATGGTTAAACTTTTTATTTCTGAAGATTCTTACATGTTTTCCTTAAGTAAAAATGCGCAAGCTACTTTTGTAAAGAAACCAAAATTTAAAAATAATCTTTTTTCAGACTTTAAACATTAATATCTAATTCATACTTGATTAGAATTTGAAAATAACTGTCAAAATTCACCAAAGTCATTAGAATAGAAAACAATAGAAAAGACATGCATAAGGATGTTATTTCAAGTCATGTTTGAAAAAAAAAAATTCTCAACAATACCACTTTTCTTAGCAACAATCAAAAATAAATTTGTTTCACATTTTATATCTTCAATTCTGTAAATTACGTTCATGCCTTTCTTGCATAAAACTCGCAATTTGATTATTTTACAGAAAACAATCTTTGTCGTAAATATGGCATGTCCCTCTTAAAATGGAATGTCATTTGAAATTACTTTAAGGTCCCTTTAAGATGAATTCTAGTCCTAACACTTCTCAAGGGAACCGTTAACCCTACAGTTAGCTATAGACAGGATAGAAACGAGAATACAAATTTATTACCTTCATTGTTTGTTGTTTCCATTCATGTGTTGTCTTTCGAATGGTTTCTATTGATACTTAAAATTTACTTTTAGAGCAGACAAATTTTATAACTATGTAAAATTTACTTTAAAAGCAGACAAACTTACAACTATGTAAAATTTACTTTTAGAGCAGCCAAACTTACAACTATGTAGAATTTACTTTTAGAGCAGCCAAATTTCATAACTATGTAAAATTTCGAGGATTTCTCTGTTTTAAAAGTGAATTTACAAAAGTTGTCACAAAAAATGTAGCCGTGTTGTTTTTTATTGGATACAAAATCAAACCATTAAACAAGCAAACAGACATTAAATTCCAAAATTATGCGTTCTACGGGCCACTGGGTTTACCTGATAGGCAGTTAAAATTACATGTTCTACGGGCCACGGGGTTTACCTGATAGGCTGTTAAAATTACACGTTCTAAGGGGCACGGGGTTTACCTGATAGGCTGTTAAAATTACAAGTTCTAAGGGGCACAGGGTTTACCTGATAGGCTGTTAAAATTACATGTTCTAAGGGCCACGGGGTTTACCTGATAGGCTGTTAAAATTACATGTTCTAAGGGGCACAGGGTTTACCTGATAGGCTGTTAACACGTTCTACTGTGCACGGGGTTTACCTGATAGGCTGTTAAAATTACACGTTCTACTGTGCACGGGGTTTACCTGATAGGCTGTTAAAATTACATGTTCTACTGTGCACGGGGTTTACCTGATAGGCTATTAAAATTACACGTTCTACTGTGCACGGGGTTTACCTGATGGGCTGTTAAAATTACACGTTCTACAGTGCACTGGGTTTACCTGATAGGCTGTTAAAATCACATGTTCTACGGGCCACAGGGTTTACCTGATAGGCTGTTAAAATTACATGTTCTACGGGCTACCTGATAGGCTGTTAAAATTACACATTCTACAGGTCACGGGGTTTACCTGATAGGCTGTTAAAATTACACGTTTTACGGTGCACGGGGTTTACCTGATAGGCTGTTAAAATTCCTTCATTTTCAGTTTGTTTCCAACCTAAATAAAAATCTTTCTGGGACGGAGCTTTAACATTATATAACTTGGGTACGGTCTCTTTATATTTGTACCTTTTACATTATTCTATTTTTGGCATTTAATATCTTCCATTAATCAACAAAAAAAAAAGTATTTTCAACATGATAAATTCAATATAATTTCTTCTTTTGAGATTTTCAGAAAGAGGATTAAAACTATGTACGGTACTTTCCCAAAGGATTTTTTAAGTGGAATATTTCCCAAGGGTATTTTCCCAAGTGGCAACTTCCTAAATGTGCAATTTCCAAAGCGCCATCCTAGCAGCAGCGCTCGGCCCCCATTGTAGGCTGCAGCCTACAATGGGGGCCGAGCGCCTAACATAGCAATTGGGAAGTTGCCGCTTTGGAAGTTACCACTGGGGAAATTGTCACTTTGGAAGTCGCCCCTGGGAAAATAAATTTGGAAAAGTACCTAATACTACGCAGGAAAGGGGGAATACTTTTACTTCATATTAATTAAATGGAATGTTCGGGAAAAATTAAAGGGGTAATAGGCGGATTCCTATTCAAAGAAACTGAGTGTTGGCTACAAACTCTGATTTTTCATGCCTTATATCTTTGCAACCCGATGTCGTTTGATATTTCATTAATTTTCTTAGATCAAATAGTCTACGTTTAAAATATCAAAGGTTTACGCCATCAGGTTGAATATACAAGGGATTAGAAAATTTGAGTTTGTGGCAAAATCTCAATTGCATTATTCCTGACCACGCCAAACGATAATCATGACTGATCCTTACATTTTTGCGCTGAAAACATGTTTTTATTGTTGGACAAGTTTTTGGGAAAGATAATTAATGCGCGGCATTCTGGATTAGTTGCGCTCAAGTGAAAAGAATAGAAACGTATCATTAATTAAAGATATCGTTTTTGTTACTTAAAATCCTCGAATTTCTGAGTAGGAATATTCACAAAAGTTACACTTGTGTTCTATAAAAAGTTATATCATAATACAAGGTGTCCCACAAAACATGACGGATAAAAGACGACTTCAGGGTCGTATTTGATCCAGAATATAATTAAATAACAAAAATCTGTTTCGTTACAAACAAAAATTATGATGACAAAAACCTCACAGAGAAATAAATATAAACTAAAACTATACTAAACTATACGCAGAAAAATATTAAGGAGAAATTAAACTGGAATACAAAAGCAAATATTAATCATATAAGACAAACATTAACAATAAATTAAACTAAATTGTAATATCTCCCCCCTCCCCTCTTCTACAAAAACAGAATGGATAAATGAAGAAAAAAAAGCTTGAAACAGAAAAATAGGTTTATATGAAAAAACTGAAAAAAGGGTTATAACTGGACAAATATTGACAACTAAAAAAATACCATCTGCATCAATTATTTATATTATATATGTAAATAAAGCAGTTTGTACATGATGTCCTACAATATATTAAAGTTAAAATACGACTTAAAGATTATCTTTGATCTCTCAAATAATCTGCGGTATTCATGTCGTTAACCTACCATACAATAATTGTTAAAGGGAGTGTTCGCGAAAAAAGAAAGGGAATACAGGCATACGGCGAAAAAAGCACTTTTGATCGCTACTAATCTTACGTAATAACGTAGCAACCGCCCTAATTGAGAAAATTGCAATCCACGACTCGGATCGTAAAAAAATCAATTTAATATAAAACAAATCATTCAGATATTACAACCTATAGTCATCGATTATTTTTTGACGCATTCGCATATCGTTGATATTTCAAAATATTTTGTATTTGTTTTATGCACTTAAAACGCCGATTAGTTTGTCCGCCAGGTGTCTTTGCTCTTGATGCTCTAAATGATTCCACGTGGCAGAGACACCTAGCGAAAAATATCATTGTTTTAAGTGCATTGTTTATAAATAAGTAAAAGAAATATTAAGAAAAATTTAACTATATACAAATGTGGCGAAAAATAAACGAAGACTACAGGTAGTAATATCTGAATGATTTGTTTGAAACTAAATTGATTTTTTTATGATCCAAGTTGTGGATTGCATGAGTCGTTTTAACTATTTTTTCCTTATCGACGCAACAGATAGATGTAAGATAAGTAGCGATCAACAGCGCTTATTTTTCGCCGTATGCCTATACCCCCTTTCATTTTTCGCGAACACTCCCTTTAAAACACCTAGTCCTACCCTTTCCAACAAGTATAATATACATTTTTTCCTTTTTCAAAATCACCGAAAAATAAGTAAGATTTCGTTCAGATTTAGATAATTTTTGTTTTATTTAATGAAATGAAATCTAAAAAAAATTCTCCCGTTATTTTAAAAGCTCAATAAGCAGGCCACATTTTAGATATTTAAGTATTATTGCTTTTTATTTTATTTTTTATTTTATTTTATTATCATTGTTCAAAAATGTTAAAGTAAGGTTGACGAATGAATGCCGCAAATTATCTCAAAATTTAAGGACGATCTTTAAACGGTCTCTCAACCGTCATGTTTCGTGGGATACCCTGTATTATCCAGCCTTACATATATTCATATATATAGAGAGATCTATTTCCCGTCAATATAAATACCTACATTCATCTAGTATTCAGTTATGTAAATCTAGGATACATAGCGTTAGCTAGGGTTGGAAAACTAGAAAAAGGTACACTTTTTAGGTCGGTTTTTTATTTCAACTTGTTAAATATAACCGAAAAGTGGAGAGTGTAAAAAATTTTGTACTAACACAATAAGACTTTAAAGTCCACTTAATCACCCTTGTTCCAACTGTCCGGTAGTGTCTTATCCGTGTTCCAACTGTCCGGTAGCGTCTAATCCTTGTTCCAACTGTCCGGCAGTGTCTAATCCTTGTTCCAACTGTCCGTTACTGTCTAATCCTTGTTCCAACAGTCCGGTAGTGTTTAATTCTTGTTCCAACTGTCCGGCAGTGTCTAATCCTTGTTCCAACTGTCCGTTAGTGTCTAATCCTTGTTCCAACTGTCCGTTACTGTCTAATCCTTGTTCCAACAGTCCGGTAGTGTTTAATTCTTGTTCCAACTGTCCGGCAGTGTCTAATCCTTGTTCCAACTGTCCGTTAGTGTCTAATCCTTGTTCCAACTGTCCGTTAGTGTCTAATCCTTGTTCCAACTGTCCGGTAGCATCTAATCCTTGTTTCAATTGTCCTGCATCGTCTAATCCTTGTTTCTACTGCCTGGTAGTGTCTAATCCTTGTTTCAACTGGCCGATAGCATAAAATCCTTGTTTCAACTGTCCGGTAGCATTTAATCCTTGTTTCAATTGTCCGGTATTGTCTAACTCTTGTCTCAACTGTCCTGTAGCGTATAATCCCTGTTTCCACTGTCAATTAGCATTTGATCCTTGTTTAAACTGTCAGGTAGCCTCTAATTCTTGTTTCAACTGTCCGTTAGCGTCTAATCCTTTTTTAAACTGTCGGGTCCTTGTTTCTACTGCACGGTACCATATAATCCTTGTTTCCACTGTCAAGTAGCATTTCATCCTTGTTTAAACTGTCCTGTAGCGTCTAATCCTATGTTTCAACTGTCAGGTAGTCTCTAATTCTTGTTTCAACTGTCTGTTAGCGTCTAATCCTTTTTTCAACTGTCAGGTAGCCTCGAATACTTTTTTCAACTGTCAGGTAGTCTCTAATTCTTGTTTCAACTGTCTGTTAGCGTCTAATCCTTGTTTCAACTGTCAGGTAGCCTCTAATCATTGTTTCAACTATCCAGTAGAGTCTAATCCTTGTTTCAACTGTCAGGCAGTGTTTAATCCTTGTTTCAACTGTCAGGTAACCTCTAATTCTTGTTTAAACTGTCAGGTAGTGTCTAATCCTTGTTTCAACTGCACAGTACGGAACAATTTTGTTGAGAAAAGTTTGCTGTAATGGGAAGATTACTTTTGTGGAAAGGGGGCGGGGGAAATTTTTGTGAAAGCGACCTCAACTGATCATCGTTTGCAGTAGAATCTTCTCCAATAGGCCCAACCCATGAGTATTGAGGTGCATTTATTTTTTGTGGAAAAAGGGGGATTTTTCGAAAGTCGTCTTTACTTACCATCCTTGGATGTAACATCTTCTCCATTAGGTCCAACCCATGAGTATCTAGGAGGAGGAGATCCAACTGCTCGACATTGGAAAACAGCTTTATCTTGTTCTATCCCAACCTGATCTCCAGGCTCTACTACCCAAACAGGGGGTTCCTCAACCTAGAGGATCAAAAGTTGTGTTTTTTTAATCTGTTAATGCCGGGCTCGGTCGGTTCAATTCTAAAATTGTAATTTAACTTAGATCATCGGATAAATCACTCCTTTCTTTGATAAATTATTTTAGATATAAATATTACTTTTAATACTGTTACTCCTTTCTTTAAACAATATAGATATTAATATTAATATTAATACTGTTACCCCTTTCTTTACACAACTATTTTACATATTAATATTATCATTAATATATTTATCAATGATAATATTCATAATGACCAAACAAAACTGCATTTTCAATTTGGGGGAGTAAAAAAGGAGTTTTATAAATCTAATAAAGGCATTTATCAGATATTAAAAGTTGTACTTCACAAATATATGTAAAATGTAGATTTGACTTAATACAACTTTTTAAATATCTCTTAGACATAATAAAAAAACTGATTTTTGCCAAAATTGCTATTTTCAACCTGATATTTTACTTTTTAGACCTTTTCAAACTATAAAAGATGTGAAATCAAATAGTTAAAAATATTTAAGTGTCATTGTTCAAAGACATACGGATTAGAAAATAAGATTCTGTATAAAGATGGTTGAGAAAAAAGAATAAGGTTTACAGTAGGTATCATATATGCATCAGGCATATTGTGAATGAAAGAATGATTAGAAAAAATATTATATATTTGATCTGAAGGGTAGAGTAATTTATCAATATTTATTGTTGAGTAGAGGGCTACAGAGTATTTTTATATTATACTTGGCAATTGGCATACATACAGGCAAAGAGAATAGAGTGAAATTAAGTCGAAATCATACAGTATTAGTGGGATGTACTGCGTATACTTTGTGAATATTTACATGAATTGTTTACTTTGAACTCCTTTTCAGGCTCAAAGGGACTGAACAAATTCATACCGAGGGATAACCTTACTTCTCTTCTATTCTAATGTCTGTTCTGTGCATACATTTTTTCATTTTTTCAATTGAAACTACTTCTACGTACGTACACCCTATAGTTTCTTAGGAATCTTTATTGAGTTAAATTAAAAACAATGTTTAGTATTTATATAATTAAAAGAGTATGTCGTAGATGGCTGTATGTATATAGACATATTTCTATCATCATCTATGTATTTCAAGAAAAGGAAAAACCCTTTATAAAATTTAGTGTTTAAAAAAACGAAAATTCTAGAATAAAAAGATTTATGTTTTCTGAAACCTAATGCGTTTAGAGATATCATAAACATGATACACAGTGCGTTGAAGGAAATTATAAATATAAAGTAAAGGAAATGAGATGTTTGCACAGCTACATTAGTATTATCTTATTTAACATAATGTTTGGTACAATTCTTTTTGCCAAAATTAATATGTGTGCATTTACTTAATTGTCCCAAAGGGGGGGGGGGGGTACTTAATCGTGGGAGGAGTGGTTATTTGAACAAGGATAATGATTAGGGTGCAGCAGGGAGAGGAAGGGGCTATAGGAAATGAAAAAAGACAATTAAAGATGTTTGGGTGTTTCGTTTCTTTGTAAATAAAGGATGCCGAAAATATTTAAGGGACCGTTCACTAAATCATGGGGATTCCTTGGAAAGTAGGGGAAACGTATTAAACTGTCAAATGTTTGAAATAAGTTAAATTTTGAAAAAAAGACAATTTTAAATTATTTTGAAAGAATTTAAAGATATCTACAATTAACTATTAGATACTACATTACAATTTGATTTAATATTTGAAAATAAAATAAAAAACATGACTATGACAAAAAACATCAAATAGTGTAAATGCAAAGTTGTATCATATCTTTGCACCGGAATTCTGAAGGATAAATCGACATTTTCTCATGCCACATTTGTCTTTGAAAAGTAAGACTAATGAATAGCTAATAGGCTATTTCGTTTACCCTCAAATTGACCAAATAAATGAACGGTCCCCTTAAAGAACCTAAGCAAAAACTTCAATTCAGCGTCTATTTAAAAAATGACATAACCAATTCACATTATCAGTCCCTCCAGATGGCAGCATGTACTGGCCCAGCTTGTACTGGCCTGCTAGATGGCAGCATGTACTGACCCAGCTTGTACCGGCTTGCTAGATGGCAGCATGTACTGACCCAGCTTGTACCGGCCTGCTAGATGGCAGCATGTACTGACCCAGCTTGTACCGGCCTGCTAGATGGCAGCATGTACTGACCCAGCTTGTACCGGCCTGGTAGATGGCAGCGTGTACTGACCCAGCTTGTACCTGCCTGTCAGATGGCATCGTGTACTGAACCACCTTGTACTGGCCTGCCAAATGGCAGAGTGTACTGACCCAGCTTTTACAGACCTGACAAACGCCCCTTTATCCTATGTTGGCCCAGTTAAGTTTGGCTAAGCTCAAGTTGCCAAATCTGCAAACAACTTTTACAGAGAAATCACAAATTTAAATAATTAATTGAAAAAATTGGATATCTCCTTCATTTATGATTAGACCAAGGTATAAGGGTACCGTTGTGAATCGAAAATTCCACTCTTTACAAAACATGATCATAACCTATAACCCTTTTCACTTTTGACGAGTAAAACTTTAAAAGATACTGATGTCTTTACATAACAACACTTTAAGAGTATAGAAGTTAAAGTACGTTAAAAATATACTTTTGAATAGATCTGAAATATGGATTTCAATATAAACATACACAAAATGTAAATAGAAATGCATTTTGAATGGAATAGATTTGATCTTATCTCTCTTTGACCTTGTAATGCCAAACAATTGTCATCCAAGGCACAAAACCCTTATGTGGACAAAACTCACAAAGGGGCGGATATTTTCCAGTATTATGAATTATTTATTCCCCCCCCCTAGAATTTCTTATCTGTGAATTTGGCCATTTTTATGAAAAGCTGGGGGGGGGGGGGGGGGGGGGGGAATTGCCAAAGCAATTGAGTCTTTGCCACAAGCTCTGTTCTAATCCCTATACCTTGAGCAACCCAATGTCGTAGATATTTCAAACGTTAGATATGTTAGATCAAATAATCTAAGCTTTAAATATACAAGGTTTACACCATCAAGTGGCAAATATATAGGAATTAGAAAATTTTTGTTTGTGGCAAAGACTCAACTTCTTTATCATTCAAAATCTTCCTTTTCCAAGGGGAGTGGGAGTGTTTGGACAAGAAAAGGGCTTTAATTGATATTTATCTAGTTTTACCTCAAGTTGAATATCTCGTTCTTCTAGCTCCCCCGTTTCTGGTACCCTGGCTCTACAGGTGTAAACCCCTCCGTCATCTTTCCTCACCCCTTGGACCACCAAACCGTCACTTTCTATCACAAATCTAGAACCTAGATACAATATGATTAGTCTTTTAAGAAACCCAGGAGTCATGACCAGAGGCGTTTTCAGGGGGCTGTGGAGCCTTCCCACCCCCCCTGAAAAAATCCTGAATAGGACCCTGGTCATGATCCTTCTTTCATCCCTCCAACTCTAGTGTCAATACTAAACATTAAACCTCTTGTATCTTGTATTATTAAATCATGTATTAGTGTCACACCGATACAGAGTAAGGAAAGAAAAATGAAACATTTCTTGGGGATTTCATTCCACTCTTTCTTTCTGTCAAAAACCGAGAACAAAGTTTCAGTCAGTTTACAAATGTGTTTTAAGAATCTTTGCATTTTCCTGATGAATGACTTATGAAATATCTATGTATTTAGCTGAAAAATTGAGATTTGTGAGGGTAGTGATTTGCGAAATTTTGCAGCAAAGACAATGAAGGAGGTTGTAAGAATTTAATACTATTCAGGAGAGAAAAACCGGAGAAATTGTTGGTCGTTGTTTCTATTTTACGAAATGAACCGGTTTCAATCTGGACTGGACCCTCTTTAAATGGAGGGTCATATGAATTATCTTCAACAGTCTCTTTAATTTCTATGATTAAATCAATGAAGTAAAGACTGGGTAAGCTGAATATTTTCCTAAAGAATATCTAAGAAAACTGCAGAAATTGGAGACATGTCGACTCCAGATATATTTGCTGGAAAATTTGGATTTTATAATCAAGAAATCTTCAAGTGCATTGTTGGTTTAAGAGATGTTTTTGAAGGAATGTTTTATCAAACCTGGATTATAATTTCTGGAGAAATATTTTCCTTCGATTTTTTTCAACCTGAATTTAGGAAGAAAGTTGATAAGATAAGTTGTATAATACCAAAAACAGAATTTACAGTGAAACTATACAATTGGTTTCGTTTCTGACAGTGAGAACCAGAAAACGGAATAGGAAGACGACTTTCAGGCTCAAGTTATAATTTTAAATTGTCCAATGTTCATTGAGACACAGCAATATTGCTTTTAAAGGGAGTGTTCGCGAAAAATGAAAGGGGGTATAGGCTTAATGCGATAAAAAAGCGCTTTTGATCGCTACTAATCTTACTTCTAGCTGTTGCGTCTATAAGGAGAAAATTGTTAAAAACGACAAATACCGAAGAACGTCCATACAGATTCAGAAAGATGCAACATACGACTTAGACCGTAAAAAATCTATTTAATTTCAAACAAATCATTCAGATATTACAACCTACAGTCATCAATTATCTTTCGCCACATTTGTATATAGTTGATTTTTCATAATATGTTTTAATTGTTATGATCTGAGAGTTACTTATAAAAACATTTATTCCTGTTTCGAGGATTTTTGGTAATGAAGACGACATTTTAATATTTTCCAGGAATGTTCGAAAACAAGTTGTAAGCTAAATATTATTTTAAAAAATAAAATCAAAACATATTATGAAAAATCAACTATATACAAATGTGGCGAAAGATAATCGATGACTATAGGTTGTAATATCTGAATGATTTGTTTGAAATCAAATAGATTTTTTTACGATCTAAGTCGTATGTTGCATCTTTCTGAATTTGTATGGACATATATACGTTCTTCGGTATTAGTCGTTTTTAACAATTTTCTCCTTATAGACGCAACAGCTAGAAGTAAGATTAGTAGCGATCAAAAGTGCTTTTTTTATTGCATAAAGCCATACACCCCCTTTCATTTTTCGCGAACACTCCCTTTAAGCTACTATAGTAAAACTTTTTGTGTTGTAACAATATCAATTGCGTTCAAATATTGGTTTAATATCGTCTTCCTATTCCATGTTTGTTCGTTTCGTTCGTTTCGTTCGTTCGTTCCATGTTCGTTCGTTTCGTTTATCAAACAGTATTTGTTATCAAATTTATTGAGTTAGGAATAAAGCATAAAAATAATTGTTGCAACTTCTTAAAACTTAGTTTTTTTGACTTTTTGACTTCTAAATCAAATCTAAATATTAGAAAGGAACTGCATATGTTGCCTACTTTAGTAAATTTTGTAGAAAGAAATTGAAGATATTTGTAATGTGCATTCATAAATGGATTTGTAGTGTACATCCAGAAATTTTGTAGAAAGAAACTGCAGCTGTATGTAGTCTAAATTCATCTTTTAATCACGTCAACAAGTTGGATCCGGTTCTTTAAAAAAAAAAGATAGATAGATAGATAGATAGATAGATAGATAGATAGATAGATAGATAGATAGATAGATAGATAGATAGATAGATCGAATATACAGAGCGTCCCATATCATATTAGATTATCTTCAAGTTTCAACGCCAAAATAAACCCATAATGCTAGAAAAACCTCGCATTTTCCACAATAAAATTCTTATATTAGCCTTATTTAAATTTTCAAAATGATTCATTCTTCTTAAATTTTCTGATTTGTCCCGAAAATCGTAATTTAGACCGATTGACGATCTAATATGATATGGGACACCCTGTACATATAGATGCATAGATAGATAGATAGAAAGATAGATAGATAGATAGCTATTAAAGGAGTTAATTTCTGAGGTAAAACCCCCTGGTACAAGTTAAATTCTCGAGATTAAAAATATATGTATGCAAAGCTGGGTTTAAACTTTTAATAAAATTCATAAAACTACTGAACATATTAAACATTTTATTTTCTTAAACAAAACAGTTTTAAATTCTTTAAGAAAACATGCTATATTTGCTAAGCACTAGAAAATAAAGATTAGACAAATTAATTTTCTAGGAAACCTTGTATTTTTTACTTTTAGACCAAGAGAGGAAGGATACTGATTCAAAGTAAAAAGTAGTGAAAAAGAATTAAATAGAATTTTCAGATATTTTGATACTGATCAAGGAATTATCAATAGGAGGAATTTTTGTCATTTATACAGGAACTGTACATATACAGTGGTAGGCGATAGTATCAATACAATGACGACGACTTTTTCTTTAAGTTTTGATTGTTAATAAGCTTTTTTCGGATTACAAGTTTACAGGTAATCAAAGAGAAGCTTTTTTAATTGACAGCTTCTCTTAAATTATTTGTTTATGTATATCCATGCTCTTTAACAGCTTGATATAAATCTAAATTGAAATGGAAAGTCGTCTTCAATGTATTAATATAATCGCCTACCACCGTAGCACTGTGATTAAAAGGTCCCACGCTCTCAAGCTAAAATCGATGATAATTTTGCCAATTACTTCTTAGAAACCAAAGCTTACAACAAGTGGTCTATATAGTGCTATAGTTACATGTAAAGGAATACAGAAAAGTACAAGTGAGTTAGAGCTGTAAAATCTAAACACAAGGCGTTGCGACACTTTAAAGTCGACCCTGTCTTAAAAATTGATGAGACTGTATAAAAGCAGGCAGAATCTATAGAGAGTGACTTATCCGTGTATAGAGTGGCACGTGTAAGTATTTAAACATTGACTGAGTAAAAATCGTTAAATCTTATTATGTTCAATTTGATTATTAATTAAGATTTTCACACTATGGTTTTAGTAGAAGTAAATATTTCCATTTACTGATAGCGCCGATTGAAGGATTCATAACTCTGATTGGATAATGAGATAGATAGAAAGATAGATGTTACCGCCAAACTATTTCTATTGGTTCAGAATAGACAACAGACACATGACTGATCCCTGTTTGGATCAGGCGCTAATGGACTCCGCATACAGGATTTAAAATGCAAAGCAAACCAAGATAGAAAAGAATTAAGGAAAAAGAGAAGAAATTTTATAATGAAAAGTACGAATTTAAAAAGAAATTTTGAAGACTGACGATGAAGAAATCGAATTATGATTTAAAGTTTTTCATTCTTTCTAACCCGATTTCCAAAGAGAATATTGGCAGAAAGAACAAAAGGTATGCACACTACTGCAAATGCAGGGTTCCTCACAAAAGATTAAATTCTTATAAAACTCTTTACATTTGATAATCAAAAGATTGTATTTGATCTAGTAAAATTTCATTTATATATATTGCATATATAATGATTGTTTAAAAAGTTATAAAATGCAAATAAACATTGAATTTAAAGTTTAATAGAGAAATTTATGTATAGATGAAACTATGAAAAGAAAAATGAATGAATTAATGAATAAATAAATGAATACATTAATAAATGAATAAATGAATAAATCAATAAATCAATAAATCAATAAATTACCTGAAAGTATAACAGACGACCCTTTAAACCAATCAATATTAGCTGGGGGTTCAGCTCTCACTTTACACCTATAATAAATAACTAAAGTTTAAGTTATTGTATTTGTAATCTAAAGTGACCTTCCATTCATCTATATGATTAATATTGTGAAAAATAATTTTCCTAGCTTGAAACGTGTTTAATTCTGATGATTTCTCCACTATTCCTAAGGGCAAGAAATAACCCAGTCACTTTTGTCGAGAATCCACAAATGAAAATAATCAGTTCTGAAAAGCAAAAACATGGAAATCAAATTCATCAAGATTTTTAAGGAAACAGCTGTTAATCGGACAGGTCAGTTTATAAATTAAGGGTCATTTGAAATTACGTTTACAGCTTACATTTAGAAGGAAAACATTTCTATTGTTAAACATCTAATGAGAAGTTGCTGTTAGTAAGTGACATACAGGGTGTCCCACATCTTCTTGGATCGTGTTATAGCTTTAAATTGCGATTTACGGGACTAATCGGAAAATCTAAAAAGAAAGAATGATTAATAAACTAAAACTTGTATATTGCTAATGTCAAGATTTGCATGCAGAAAACACTAGGGTTTTCAAGTATTATGTTCTTATTTTGGCGTTAAAGCTTGGAGGTTATCTAATATGATATGGGACGCTCTGTATTCAAATGAAACCCATATGTTTTCATGTTATTCCCAAGTTAGAATTATGTATAAAATGCTCACTGAGATTTTGCAATTTCCTGTGACCATTTTCGATAAAGTCTCCGATTTATATTACAATTCAACAAACGCAGTGCATTTCAGCTAAAATCAGACTTGTTTCAATTAAATTGTATTTTTAGATATATTTCACTTTTTAGTCCATTTATTTTTGCAACCCGATTTTGTTGATATTATTATAAATTCTTTTATCTCAAATATTCTAGGTTTGTAATCAACCAGGTCGCAAAAATGTCGGGTTAGACTATTTGAGTTTGCGGCAGGAACTCCATTTCTTTCAAATCTTAGTGAGGTTTAGAGGTTTAGAAGTGTGTGATGAAAAACAAAAATTAATAAAAAATTCCATTCTCTGATTTGAGTGAATCTTGAAAAGGTAAATATCTAGCTGGAATTTTAGATTCCAAGAAAAAAGTAAAACATCATGATGACTTGAAGTTTCTTTTTAAATTTTGCCATTGATTAAATCCCTTAATATGGCAAAAAATGTCAGGAATTTTTAGGATAAAGGGAAGATTTAATAATAATTCAAAAAAATCAAAATGTTGCCATTTTTTCTAGTTGCTTCTTTTAATAAATTATATTATTATATGTCCTACACTAAAAAACGGGTAGGAAATCTGTCACATTTGACTCCAATGACGTCACTTCAAAATCACATTGCTGTACCTATTGCTTGATAATTTACAGGGTGTCCCACCAAACATGACAGAAGCAAGACGAATTGAAATTCGTCTTTGACATTTTAATTTATTTGTGACAATCAGTAGTCAACCCACTTGCACTTGTTCGATTCTTGAACAATAACCACAAACTTCCCTTAGTCCTGGCATTTCCAATAGAAATGCTGTCAATACCACAGGAGATATTAATAATATCGTTCAGTATTCAATAATATTAATTAAACCAAAATTTTCAAAATCTGAACGAAATTCTTCATTTCTCCGGTATTACGGAAAGCACAAAAAAGGCAGAAAACATTTTGGAAATGCTAAGAAACTAGGGATATTTAGTAATTATTACCAAGAAAATTTTACTTCTAAAATTATAGCTTTACAAATAAATGTCGCAATTTATTTCAAAGATCAAAAGCAACCTTCAATTCGCCTTGCTACTGTCATTTTTTGTGGGACACCCTGTATCATATCACCTTACTTTGTGGGACATCCTGTATTATTACCTTATTTTGTGGGACATCCCGTATTATTACCTTATTTTGTAGTTTTGATTGAGTTTAGCGTACTGCAGAATTGGAGCGTCATCCCAAGTGATGCCAACTAGAAAGTAAACAATTAAAAATTAGAATGTTGACTCCTTCAATTACCATAAAAAATGGGCCCAATCGGTTCCACCGTTTCAATTTTTGACAAATAAATTAATTTTATTTTAAACTATTTGCTTTATAACAGTTTTATAGGTCTCACTATAAGCCAGGGAATAAGGAATAGAAGGGAGATATAACTGACGCGGTTCGCCCTACCATATGATTATACATGCTTTGCAGACGGGTACTCCATTTGTATAAGAAATATTTGTCTGATGTACATTTACTGCATATACAATAACCTATTTTGAATATTTTTTATACAAATGGAGTACCCGTCTGCAGAGCATGTATAATCATATGGTAGGGCGAACCGCGTCAGTTATATCTCCCTTACTCCCTGCTATAAGCATAGAGAATAGAATATATAGAGAGGAATTTACTAGAAAAAAGTGTAAAACGGCCATTTGTTGTACTGTTTCCATACTGCAGGTGTACTTCACATATTTATGCTATATAACCTGTTGGGCCCTGGAATATCATTTTATAGAAAAACTAAAATTATTGTTAAAAGAAAACCAAATTATGGTTTCATAATTGACCAATGATCATTTCACTTAGACTCTATGCCTTCCACTTTACAAACGATGATTTTCCGTTATAACTATAAATCAAATGATGTTTTTATTCACCTTATTCATTATAAAGTTTATGTAACAGCTTTAAAAATTTCGAAATTGAAATGAATAGTCTAGGGAACATACTGTATTAATGTACTCTACTGCATATAATTTGTGAACATTTACATGATTTGTACACTTTGAACTCCCTTTCAGGCTGAAAGAGACTGAAAAAATTCATACCGAGAGATTCTTTTAATTCCTCTCTATATATTCTATACTCTATGGCTATAAGCAGATGGGAATAAGGGTTTGTTTTCAATCTACAGAAACGTATCAGAAGTCAGGGCACCTTAGAAACTGTTTTTGTTGTAAACAAACAACAATTAGTAAACACTGAAGGTAAAATTTACTCGTTGGTGCAACATTGTGACCTCGTAGCTCCTATAGTTTTGATTTTGCGCAGAAGTATAGAAAAGCAAATATTATATATAAAAAAATCAAAACGTTTTTATTCTTCTCAATAGCTATGCAATAAGAGAAGTTATGATTGAAACATTTAAGATTTTAATCTGAAGTGCAATATATATCACTGTCACGTGTTTCAGCCTGTTCTAGACTCTTTATCCTTTTGTTATTTGTAATAAAGATTTAACATTTAAACTTCCATGTAAACCTTCCAGAAAATTCTATTGTGTAAAAAATATCAGGAATCAAAATCAAAATAAGAAAAAAGGTTTTAAAGGATAATTATTCTATAAAACCTTTTTTCGTATTTTTTTAAGTTTTTAGGTTTTTATTTTACGTATTTGTACGTATATTTTGGACTTTTCTTTACCTAAAACTTTGTAAGTTGATAAAAATACGTGTATTTTTGTAAATTTATACCAAGTAATTTTTCTAAGCTTTAGTTCTTTATTTTACGTATTTTTACGTATTTTTTATTTTTTCTTTTCTTAAAAAATTTGTATTTTTTAGTTTAAAAATACGTAAAAATACGTATATTGTGTTTTGGTTTTTATTTTACGTATTTTTTCGGGTTTTTTTCTTTACTGAAAGAAATGTATTTTTTTTAGTTTGAAAATTTGAGGCAAATCAAAAAATACGTATATATATACGAATGTCATATATGGTTTTCCGGTTAGAGTAAATAGGTAAAATTAAAACAAACCAAAATTAAAAATAGTCAAGTAGCTTGGAAAGACTAAAAATTTTAAATATTGAAAATATTCTCGGTTTTATTTTGTCTTAGAGGATTAGGACTATTTTAGACAAATTAATCCCGATCGATAAAAAGTGACGGCTTTCAGTTATTCTTTTATTTTTATCAATTTTGCAGATTAATGAGGCTGCAGTATAGTCTAGTATTTTGCAGATTAATGAGGCTGCAGTATAGTCTAGTATTTTGCAGAGTAATGAGGCAGTAGTATAGTCTAGTATTTTTTAGATTTGTTCTAGCGCCCGTTATTTACTAAAAATAACTCACGGATTTCTATAAAAGGACAGAAATGAAAGAAAATGGCCTACAAACAAACTGACACCCAGACAAGCAAATTATATATTATAGATATATACATATATTCTGAAGATTGGCTGAATGCGTATAATCTCAAGTGTTATCTAACTTCCTCTGGGTCTTGTAGGAGTATTTAAATCATCCTTGTTACAAAGAGATAAATCAAAAATATCAAAATTTAATTTTTAGGAATTGAGTTTTTTCCAAAACCCTTAATCCCTATATCTTTGCAACCTAATGCCGTAGACCTATGTTGTTTCAAACTATGAATATGAACTATGAATCAAATACACTAAGTTTGAAATATCATATCATATATCATATTTACAACAAGTTAGCATAGCGATTAGAAAATTGGAGTTTGTGGCTTTTTAATGAGTTTTAGGTCAACCGTAATCTCAAGGTAATATAAATATGTAAAGTACTGTGAACTAAACAGAGGGAGAATGTCAAATTTATGCAACTTTACTGGGAGGACTTTGGGACCTCGTTGAGCCTCTACTTTTATTTTTAAGCAAAAGTACTTAAACGAAAAATAAATTTATTTGTTAACCTATTAGAAGTTAGAAACATGTTTAGCATTCTCAATAGCTCTTCAATTAAAGGAGTTATGGTTGAAAACCCTAAAAGAATTATATCTTATTTATATATGAGCTATTCATAATTTTCTTTTTGAAAAGTGAAGTAAGGAAAATGCTAGAATTAAATGACTATAACTTCAACATATTGATTATAGATAAAAAGTAATTATATCCAAAGTATAGAGTATTGGGTACACAGGCTTTATTTGATTAAAGTAGTATAGGGGGGATAGGATTAAAGTATTATATATAGGGGGGATAGGATAAATTTACGTTTTTTAAGTTTTTAAGTTTTAAAGTTGGGAAATCCATTTTTCTTAAATCACTGAAAAATATGGATTTAGAAACGTTTCATCATTTGCTAATATTTACTCATTGTAAAGTCTAAAATTATGTTCATTGATGAGAGGCATTTAAAAGGGAGTGGGTAAAAACGCCCAATTACAAAACGCCCTGTGAGACCAAACGTCAATTAAAAAAACCCTAATCTCAAAAATGTGTACATTATATGATTGAGAACAAATTTGGAAACGGAAAAAATAAATTAACGTCTGTGGAGAACCATAAGTTTACCATGAATGTAAGGGGGGGGGGGACTGAATGAATTGTGTATAGTTGGTCTACATTTTTTATTATAGATTTCTATAAAAAAATATGACTATTTGAAAAATTATTACGAAATAAAGTATCTTTTTATACATCTGAAAAGAGTCTGTAAGCTGTAATAAAAATAAAACTTTGTTTAAAGGGACTGTCAGCGTAATTTCAAGTGACCCCCAATGCACAGAAAGCCATGTTCGATTTACAACGGTACCCTTGAACACTTTGTCTGATCAAGTATAAATTAGATGGTTTCGTTTTTTTAAAACAGTTTATTCTCATTTGCGGTTTCTCTGTTATAATAGTGACTTGCGAATGTCTTGCTTAAAACTAACAGTGAATAAAATATCGAAATCAAACAAGTTTTGAGTCAGACAAGCAACCATATCCGCATTTTGGATCATCATTTGATCAGTGGCCGAATTTAATGAATTTGAGCGGCGGTTTAAATTTAAGCCGCGGCTTAAATATGGTTGGTTCCACTTAAAATTGTATCAAATGTTTCAAGATTTTAGCCGGCGCTAAATTTAAACCGGGTTTTGGCGGATTTTGGCGGATTTAAACCGCGGCTCAAATTCTTTAAATTCCATCTCAGTATAAAGCTAGGGTATTGTTGTAAATCGGACATTACCATCTTTGCATATGGAGGGTTACTTGTAAATACGACGCTTTTAGTTTATTTAAATATATTTACATTTAGTTATTACCATAAAGTTAATATAAAAAATCTACGGAAAGAAATTAATTGTTATTTTGAGTTCACGTGTGAACTTTTGTTCTTGTGTTTATCTTGTATATGTTTCTGCTTTAATAATATCTTTTTATTTGTTTATCGCTCGCATACGTATTTAATCTAAGAATTTGATCGACATGTATTTACAATTTCATAAATTGTAAATATGATAAATCCATTGTGAATTATCTTCTATTATTTGTTTAAACATATATAAGATACCCCTTTATAATATCTCTTGAAATATTTATATATATATGTCGTAGATAAGTGTGTGCCATCTGACTTGATATTTGAAAGACAACTTTCAATCTTTCCCCAAGGTGTCGATTGTCAATTTGTCAATTGTACACAAAATTTTAAAAAGCAGACTTCATTTTGGATATTATAACAGAAATAAGACGGCATTTCACTCCTGTATGCCGAGTTCATTAGCACCTGATCCAAGCAGAGTTCAGCCATGTGTTTGATGTTTATTCTGAACCAATAGAAATTGCATGGCGGTAACATCTATCTTTCTATCTAGCTCAATATCCAATCAGAGTTAAATCCTTATATCGGCGCTATCAGTAAATGGAAATATTTACTTCTACTCTAAGTATAGTGATTAAGATTACTTACTTCTCCACTGGAATTTCTTAAATTCCATACATACAGTTATAACCAGAACTGGTAAGCTATTAACTCACTTGTTAAGTGAAATGGGTCTGTTTACATGTTTAGTTTCATACGTCCATTAGCGTCTAAACCAATCAGGGTTCACTCACGTGCTTGGTGAGCACTTAGGCAGGACCAATAGATTTGGTTAGGCGGCAAAAACTATCTATTTATCTGTCTATTCAAATCTTATAATCCATTTAGAGATCCATCTGTAAATTAGCTGCAACGACTAAATGAATTAATTTACTTAAGTAACTACTCCTAAGGTGTACACTGTACAATTGCGGTGACTCATTGTTCATC